TCCCAACTCCAGTGCAGTGTGATTTCGTCAAACAAGAGATGAGCCAATGGTGAGGCCAGGGAAGGAGCAGCCTGGCTTACTGATGGTGCGGGGAGGGGCAGTGTACGGTGGAGAAAAAGGTGGGGAGCAATCACGGCCAGCTGCTGGGAGGAGGTGAGCTCCCAATTCCATGTTCTTCTCCCCAAGAGGAGAAGACAGCTTTCTCTGAGCCACACTGTAACAGGTCCAGCCCCCACAGGTCGCCTGCTCACTCTAAGAATCCACTTGTGGTGACAAATGGGGACAAATCATCCAGCGAATGACTTCACACTAAGTTCTCGGGAAGATGCATGGACCGTGGCCGCAGCCAGGCTGCAGAGACACAGACTCCCTGGAGTGAGGCAGAGACTCTCTACCAGCGCCTGGCCCTGGACCGGGGCTCTGCTCTCAGGCCCCTCCTGACAGTCAGACGGAAGAGACCTCTTTGCTTGCACAGCCCGGTGGCCATGCACTGGGGAGCTGGGCACAGAGCAGGTGGCCCTGAGGCCTGGGCAGTAGGAGCAGGGGTGCGGCATCTTGACCCCTGCCAGTGGGAGGAAACCTGAATGACCTCCATGACTTGTCTGTCTCACCCCTCTTGACCTACCATCACCCCAGCCTGTTCCCGGGACTCTCTTGAGGATGTCGGGAATGTTGGAGGCGGGCAACCCCTACCTGTGTGTTCCCAGGCAGGCAGAGCTGAGCAGGGTCACCCAGAGGTGCCGGCCTCTACCTGCTGTATCTGTGTCCCCATCCCAGGCCTCCTTCCCTCTGCCACCCGGGCCTTGACACCCAACTCCAGGCCTGGGGATGGTGGGCAGCACGCAGCCTGTTTATTTTATCGTGACACTGGCACTAGCTAGCTCTGGGCCTGACCTTGGGGTCAGGGAGAAAGGAGATGGCACCCCACGCGCACGCACATGCGCGCGCACACGCGCGCGCGCGCGCACACACACACACACACGCATCATGGTCCGCTTGGCTGAGCACCTGAACATGTATATCCTTCTACCCAGAGCAAAGGAGAGAAAGTTCTGCACTGATCTGGCCAGACTCCACTGCTGGTGCACCCCACCATGGATAGCCATCGGGGAGTGAGAGTTGGAGCCCCAGATACCTGGGAAACGGAAGCAGAGCCTCTCCTGCCACAGGGATTAAACCCGTGGCCTCGGCCTGGCCTGTGGGTGGGAATGGCAGGCATTCCCACAGCCTTGCAGCTCTCCTCTCCTTTTGTTCTTGCTTCTTGGGTTCTCTTTGGCCCTCAGTTGTCGGCTTGGGCCAGTCCAGGGCTGGAGCAGAGCCTGGGGCCTGGGGGCCAGAGGACGAGTCCCCACCGTCGAGGGGACTGAGGGAAGCCCAGAGAGGCTGGCTCAGGGTTATGAGGTGCTGGTTCCATGTTCTGAGAACCAGGTTGGCATTGGTTTCAACCGGGCTGCCAGCAGCCGGCCTCCCGGCCTTGAGTTTGAGAAGCTGATATGGAGCCCGGCAGCCTCCAGGAAGCCAGGTGACCAGGACAGCGCCTTCCTGCTGGGCAGCTCCAGCCCCTTCCCTCCCTCCCTCCTCTCCCTGCTCCTCCAGCCTCCCAGCCTGGGGAAGCTGCTGCCACTGCCCCCCACCCCTTCCAATTCCTCATTGATTTACAAACACCCTAAGCGTTTCTGCTGAGAGGGGCGATGTGGAGACTTCGGATGCCTTTAAAACTAGATTTGAAAGAAAGAACTAGATAGCTTGAACCTGGTGGCGTACACAACGGCCCTTTTATGTTTGCTTACTGATTGCTTAATTTAGCCTGGGCCACGCGGCCTTGAGGCCATGCCAGCGGTTTGTGAAAGGTGGTTTTCTAGTCCTTGTTGGAGCTGCCCCTGCTAGTATGTGTGTGTGTGTGTGTGTGTGTGACATGCATGTGTTTGCCTCTGGGAGCAGCACAGGAAGCCAGAATTGTCTCTTCCCTGCCATGCTCCACAAGGCGTATCCTCTGGGTGGCACCCCCAATCCCTCCGAACACAGCAGAGCTCCCTACAGTCATAATGAACAGGGCAACTCACCTGCCTCGCTGGAACTTCCCACCCACCCCCCAAACCCATCACAGCATAGGGACCACCTGACTGTCCTACACATCTCCTTGTACACACACACACACACACACACACGTACACCGACACAGACACACAAGTGCACATACAGACACACACAGAGACACTCACGCACATGCACACACAGACACACAGAGACACACACAGATACAGACACAGACATACACACATGCACACACAGGCACACACACAGAGATACATACGGACACAGACACGGACATACACACATGCACACACAGGCACACACACAGAGACACATACGGACACAGACACGGACACACACACATGCACACACAGGCGCACACAGTGCCAAAGGCAGTGCACACACATGCAGAGCGGTCCCTGCTGGGAACTGGGGCAGCTGCTGTCCACGGAGCCTGGGACCATCTGTTTCCCCTGCCCGTGTCTGGAGGCCTCCAGGGGGGCCTGTCTTCCCCACAAGGCCCCGCTCGGTTCCCCAGACGGAAAGCCTGATTCCCTGACAGGCCTCTTTTGGAGTTGGTAGCTTTGGAAGGTGAGCAGAGACTGAGATGGTTTGGGGAGCGAGGTCAGGGCTGCTCACCAAAGAGTGAGGGAGAGCTTTCCCCTTCGGGCCTCTGGGCATCCCCTCTGCAGACCTGCCCGGTCCTCCTGCCCTCCTCCCTCCCCTCCATCTCTAGCACGTTGACCTAATGGAGGGCTGGGAGGTGGCCAGTGGGCCGGGACTGGTGCAGAAGGACGTGGTGGACCGGGGCTGTGTCTGCAGTGCCTTAAGAGTGGAAGGAGGCCGGTTGACACGCCCTCATGCAGGTAGCCTTAGACATGTCCCCGACACTGACAGTGCCCCTTGTGGCCCAGCTCAGCCAAGGGCCCCTGCGGCATGCCACTCAATCCATGAACTCATTCCCTGTCCTACCAGGGGTGGCAGACTGGCTCCACCCTGGTGTCGTTTCTTAGACACTCCAACCATGGCCCAGGGTCACCCAGGGGAGCAGGTACCTAAGGCTGGAAAAGCCAGGTGGTCCCTGCTCTGCCCAGGCTGTGTGGTCACCCAGCCCTGGCCCCAGGATCCAGCACCAGACACGTGCAGGGAATGGGCTGTTGAGTGCAGAGGTTTCAGGTGGGAGAGGCCTGGCCCGGGCCGCGGAGGCTGCGTCCAGTCTTCCCCAGCTCCCAGGTCAGCTCCGGGCGGCTGCTCGTCAGCAGCTGAGGGCTCCCCTGCTGCCCCAGAGCTTCCCTGCGCCTGTCCGTCTCCTTGGCTTTGAGCGGCGTGTCGGGAGGGACCTGGCAGATGTATCCTTTGTGTCTCTTCCTGACACTGCAGATGGGCTGGGGAGATGGCCCCAAACTGAACCGTGGCTTCTTAACTTGGCTTCTTAAAGTGCATCAGGCGGAGAGTTTGACACCTTGAGTCAGCGTCAACCTGCCAGTGACAGCAGGGTGACCCTGGACAAGCCACATGGCTTCTCCAGGCTGCAGGGTGCTAGTGAGGGGTCCTTGGCCAGGACTGGCTCTTGCCCCAAGGCTGCCGCCATTGAAGTCTGTCTTTTGGACAAGACGTGGGGCCTTGGTTCCCATGGGCTTAGCCATTTTCCACAGATGATGTGATGGGAATGAAGTGGTGCCATGGGTATGTGTCTCTGGAAGAAGAAAGATCTACTAATAAGACCAGGACCTGCTATGTCCCTGGCATCTTCATAAGGACGTCTGTAGTTTTAGTTTATTTAGATCTCAAAGCCCTATGAGGCAGAGGATGCCTCTCCATTTTGCAGGGGAAGAAATGGAGGCTCAAATGTTAAATGAAGTGCCCGAGGCCTGGGTGGCTGCAGGACTGTTCTTGACCCTAAGGCCTGACAGCCCCTCTCAGCCTCGTCTTTGATCCAGAAGATGTCATACACAGGCCTGGGAAACGGAGGCCCAGGGAGGGGAAGAGCTGTGACGGGTCCTGCAGTGGCAGGCCTGGGCCTGGACCCCAGGGCCCCGCTGCCCCAGTGTCCCCGCAGGCACCTCCCCCGGCCGTCGTCTGGCTCCAGGGCCGAGAATGCCCCCTTTGTGCCACACAATCTCTGATGATACGAGGGCCTCCCTGCTCTGAAGGCCCCGATTGTCCCTGTGAGCATGGAGCTGGGCTGCCCACATCCCCGTCCCCACCCCGCCCGCTATGGGGCCTTTTGTGCTCCGGGATCTCAGCACAACAGCCAGGCCGTTGATCCAGAAGGCCCGGCGTGACTGGGGGAGGGCGGCGTGCCAGCGCGCTTGCTCTTCCCTGCGGGGCTTGCCCCAGTTCCAGCCAGGAGGTGGGCTCTTTCCTCCGGGCCAGAGCCCTGCCGCAATGAGGAGGGGCCACGCGGAGCTCGAGAGACCTCATGCCCTGTCCTGGCTGGGCCCCTAACCAGCCTGCTCTGCAAACTGGGGAGAGTCAGGCCCCCTCTCTGGCCTCAGCTTCCTTATCTGTAACACCAGAGGTTGGATAGTAGAGAAGAGTGGAGAGGTCTGGGGGGCAAAGGGAAGATTCAGCTCAGGCCTGTGTCTGGACAGTAGAAGGAACACCGGGCTGGGAACCGGGACAGCTGAGCGCCAGCCCCATGGCTGTTTGGGGTTGTGCACCCCCAGCTGGGCCCCCTCTCAGGGCCTGGGTTGTGTGATCTGCAAAGGAAAAGGGGGCAAGTCCCTCCTGCTCAGACATGGCAGAGGGACCCAGGCGTCAGATGGGCTTTAGAGGCGCAGAGAGCGTGTGTGGGCAGGGCGGTCGAGAGTGTTCAGGGTGGGAGTGAGGGGGTGCTCCGTGCGGGCAGGGGGGCGGGCTTCCCGGGCACTTGGGCACTCTGTTCCAGTGGGAACTTCCAGGGAGTCTTGGGTTGGTCTCTGGGGTATGTGTGGTCCTCTTTTGTCATTTTTCTCTTTAAATAGACCATCGACTTTCTGAACGACAACATTCGAAGAGGAATCAAGAACTACTATGATGACCTGGACTTCAAAAACATCATGGACTTTGTTCAGAAGAAGGTGAGCCAGGCTTTTTGAGTCAGAGATGTGCCACCCATGCACGTTGGCCCCCGCTTGGGACCCTGCTCAAGAGGGTGAGGGTGAGGGGTTATGTGGCTTATTCATTCCCAAGCAGGTGGCCAACCAGCCAGAACGGGGCTGGCCTTCTCAACCAGTCCTCTGCCCACGTGCCTTGCTCTACCTGTTCCATGGACCCTCCCCCTAAAAAAGGGAATAAGGTTGGAGTAGCTACAGGCCACCCTGCAGGGTCCCAGGGTGCCCCTCTCCAATGGGCAAAGACCCTCCTTCCTTGAGAGGGGAGTGAGCTGAGCTCCAAGCCACCCAGTTCAGAAGTCCCTTCTGCGGGCTCCTTCGGTGGCGGGAGCTCACTCCCAGCCAAGTCCAGGTCAGCCCCGGTGGGAACAGAGCCCTTCCCTGATTCCAGCCCCGGCGCTGGGAACAGACCAGGGCTTCTCCTGTTCCTCCATGACCCTTCTTGGACGGCGATGATGTCATTTTGAGATGCTGTCCCTCTCCCCCAAGGGCGGCCCAAGCCTGTGAGCGCAATAGCAGCTGCAGGACCGGCCCCTGTCCTGCTTGGCTTAGACACACCCATCTCACTTAGTCCTGACCCTCAGGCTCCTCCTCTGCCTCGGGGGATCCTGATGGTCCCCTCCTCGTGGCGGGGTTGCCTGGACTTGATTCAGAAGTGCTTAGAGCAGTGCCAGGCATGGGGCAAGACCTCAGTCAGCAGGTGTCAGCGTCCTCATGTTCTCCCAGGTGAAGGCAGGCAGGGCTGGAGGACTGTGAGCCTGCTCAGCCCTGACAGCACTTCCTGGACATGGCCTGGGGGGCTTCTGCTGGCCTGACCCCCCGTGACAGCCCTCAGTGGGGACGGACCAGCATCTCACTGCACCCAGGGCCCCCGCAGTGGCCACTCCCTTGGCTCAGGGCTTTCCTGTGGTCACAACAGGTGCAGCCTCTGGGAGGCCCTTCTTGGCCAGGGATGTGCCTGCCAGCTCTGGCTGGCGGGTGGAGCGCGATGCTTTTATTGGACCCAGCCTTGAGCTGGTTGGGGATTTTATTTCTCCCAGGGTGGGTGGGGGTGTGACTCATGCTCATTGGGCACCACTTGGTGTCAGGCCCTATGCTGGGTGCATCGTGCACGGCCTCTCTTTGTAATCCTCAGCTCAGCTGTGCACAGCTGGGATTTCCGGCTTTGCAGAGGAGGATCTGAGGCTCAGAGAGGCTGATCAGCTTGCCTGAAGTCACACAGCTGGGAGTGGTGGTGTGAAGATGTGAACTCGGGTCTGTCTGATTGCAAAGCAAATGCCCTTTGCGCTGTACCACAGAGAGGCACGTTCAGGTCCTAAAACCTGAAATGTTGTGGGCTGACCAGGCCCTCTAACCATATCACTCCCCTGGGTAAGCCCTCCAGTGACTTCCCGTCACTCAGAAAGAATACGATCCCAGCTCCTACTGCTCTGCCTCACAAGGCTCTGTAAGTCTGGCCTGTGCCGCCTCCTCACCCTCACCCCTCCCACTCTCCTCGCTGTGCCCTGTGCGCTGGCCTCCGCCTGCTGCTGAACTACAGCCGGCTCGTTGCTGTGCAGGGTCTTTGCACGTGTTGACTTTTTCCTGTTGTTCATGGTTCAGATTAAATGTCATCTCAGAGGCCTTTCCTGACCTCTAACCTGCCGCTGCCCCGCCCCCTCCTTCCCTGGGTGCTCACATTCCTGGTGCACAGCGCTGTGGCACTGACCTTTCCATGCCCTGCTAGCACTCGGACTCCCTCCACTGGAATGCGTCCCACGTGGTGGGCAGGGCCGCGTGCTTTGCTCACCCTGTCCCTGCGGTGCCCAGAACAGTGCCTGGACACACTGCATGCACCCCGGAAGAGTAACTGCTCTCCCAGGCATTGGCACCGCTCCAGGGGGAGATGCAGGGAGGAGCTCATCTCAGGGGAGAATGGCACCAGCCTTCTCATGGCTCCGTGCTGAGCCCAGGGCAGGATGGAGGCGGGTGCCTCTCTGCTAAGGGCAGGCAGGCGGCGCTGGGGTCACTGGGTTGTGGTGGCTTCCATAGAATCCTAGTCCCTGGGACCTTAAAGGCCAACTTCTCTGGTCTGACACCTGCACTGGGACATGAAGATGGAATCCACTTGTCAAGGGAGGACTTGGCCTTCCCGTGCTTAGTCACCACCCTGGTATCCCACCAAGAGGCTTCTTAGCTCAGCTCACACGCCTCTCCAGTGACGGGGTGCTCTCCACCTCCGGGGCGGCCATGCTGCCTGGGGAGGGCCTCGCCCTGACAGCACCCGGCTCAGGTGCTCCCTGTTGCTCCTGGGACCAGGGGGAGCCACCTCATAAATTGCACCGTCCCCTGCCAGGACCCCCTCCTGCTGTCTGCCCACGGCCTCAGTGGTCACAGCAGCTCCCTTCCCTGCTTGCTTCCTCCCTCAGTTCAAGTGCTGTGGCGGCGAAGACTATCGAGATTGGAGCAAAAACCAGTACCACGACTGCAACGCCCCCGGACCCCTGGCCTGTGGGGTGCCCTATACCTGCTGCTTCAGAAACACGGTACTCCCTGCTCCCCGGCCACCCCGCTGGTCCGGCACCAAGAGCTCCTGCAGGGGTGAAGCTGGCGGGGGGGGGTGGGGCTTCCCTTCCCTAGGAGTGGTGAGTCCGCATCATTGCGCCTCACCTGTGCAGGCTTGTTCTAGGTGCTTTAGTTGTATTAACCCACTTAGTCCTGTCAGCTACCCTGTGAGGTCGGCGCTATTGTTGTTTTACCCTCTGAACAGGAGAGGAAACTGAGGCAGCAGGAGGTTGGTGGGGCTGGGATGGCAGGCGGGCAGCCATCGTCAGGGCTGTGCTCTGGACTCCTGGACAAGCCAGGTGGGAGCAGGAGAGGACTCCGGCCAAGGCAGCTTAGCGCGGGTGGCCAGTTCTGCCTCCGCAGCTGGAGGGCCAGAGCGGGCCAGCCTTGGGCGTCTCCAGGGCTTGAGGGCCTGGTGATCATCAGTGACAAGGCGCCTGGAAGGGGGAGCTGGTGATGTAAATGCCAGCAGGGGCCTGCCCACCTCCTCACCCACTTAGCTACTTGGGAGGCGGTCCTGTGTAGTCACCGCTTACGAAGGACAGAGGCTTCGTCAATCTTCTGTGTTTGACTAATGTGTCCAAAAACTGCCTGGTTTCTGGGCTGGAACGAGGCAGAGAGCTTCGCGATTACTCATGCTCCGATAGTCATGGAAAATTTCTCTTCGGACGTTGCCATCATTCCGTGCCCACTGGCGGGTTCTGTAAACTGAGCGGCTGGTGGCGTGGGTGCGGCCTCGCCCAGGAGTCGGGGAGCCAGTGACAAGTGCACGAGCCCTGAGAAAGGCTGGGCCAGGAGGGAGGTGTGTTGGAAATGTTAGCTGCCATTTTAGGGGAGCTCTCTGGGCAGGGGGTGCTTGGAAGGAGCCCAGTGTTTTTGGGGGGCCTGTGGGAAATGATCCTGAACTTTGTCACCCAGGGCAGTGGCACCTGAATGTCCAAGTTGGAATGAGGAAGCCCAATTTTAGTTCATTCATTCAACAAGTATTTATTGAGGACCAACTATTTGCCAGACGTGGTTCTGGGTTCTGGGTTCTTAGGCAAACACACGGAGAACTCTGCCTGCATGTGGCCGGTGTCCTCGTGGGGAAACTGACAAAACAAGTAATAAAGGAGGATGTTAGAAGGTGATAAATGCTAAGGATAAAAAGTAAAGCAGGGCTTTACTTTTATGGAGGGCTGCCATTTTAGATACTGAGAAGGTGGGTTCTCCGTAAAACCCTGAAGGAAGTGAGGGAGTAAGCCATGCAAACTTGGGGACGGGCGTTCCTGGCAGAGAGACCAGCAAGTGCAAAGGCCCTGGGGTGGGAACGACCCGAGTGTGTTTGAGAAACAGCACAGAGATAGTTTGGCTGCAGCAGAGTGAGGGCTGGGGGCGCTGAGGACAGTAGCAGGTGAAGCCAGAGAAGTTACGGGTGCTCTGAAGGCTACCGTCAGAACTTTGATGTTCCCCGGAGTGACAGGAAGGGACAGTCTTCAGTGGCTGAGTGGCAGCTCTGACTTGGGCTTTCCCAGGATCACCCTGGCTGCTGTGGGCACAGGGGTGGATGCAGGGAGCTGGGTGAAGGGCTAGTGCAGCGGGCTAGGCGTCACAGGTCAGGCTGTCTGGGTAGCAGGCTCTGAGATTCGGGTTAGTGAGCAGGAGGCTCAGTAGAAGTGCTCTCAGGGTCAACACCTGTAAGGGAGCTGACAGGAGCAGAGCTGGGCAGAGGGGGAAGCTGAGCAACGATGCAGACCCAGAAGGAGCCTCAGCTGAATCCATGGGGCACGGAGGCCGAGGCTTCATACCCACCGTGACCAGGCATTGCGGTGGTCCCGTGTCCCACCTGGGAGGGACTGCTGACTCTGCTCAGCAGAGAAACAGAACTAATAGGACGTGTGCCTGTGTGTGTGTGTGTGTGTGTGTAATTGGCTCATGGAATCATGGAGGCAAGGGAGTCCTGAGAACTGCAGGGTGATCAGCAAGCTGGAGACTCAGGAGAACTGATGCTTCCTTCCAGTCTGAGTCCCAAGGCCTCAGAGCCAGGAGGGCTGCTGGCGTGGGCCCTCGCTGAAGGCTGGCAGATGGAGACCCAGGGCCTGGTGTTTCAGTTCAGATCTGAAGACAGTCTGGCTGGAAGCAAGCTCTATAAATGGGGGTGGGGGTGCGGGGGGAAGGGCAGACTTTTTTTTTTTTAATGATTTTAAAATTGATTTTTAGAGAGAGAGGAAGGGAGAGGGAGAGAGTGAGCAAAACATCGATTGGCTGCCTCCTGCACTTCCCCCAGCCGTTCTCAACCTGTGGGTCGCGACCATCGGAAAACACATATAGCATATCAGATATTTACATGACGATTCATAACAATAGCAAAATTACAGTGATGAAGTAGCAACGAAAATAATTTTATGGCTGTGGGTCACCACAACATGAGGAACTGTATTAAAGGGTCGCGGCATTAGGAAGGTTGAGAACCACTGCATCAGGAAGTGAGCCTGAAACCCGGGCATGTGCCCTGACCGAGAATTGAACTGGCAACCTTTTGGTTCACTGGACAATGCTCAACCAACTGAGTCATGGCCGCCAGGGCAAGGCAGCCTTTTTGTCCTAATCAGGCCTTTAACTGATTGGACGAGGCCTGCCCATATTAGGGAGGGCGATCCACTGTCCTTGGTCTACTGATATAACTGTTGTTCTCATTGGAAAGATACCCTTACAGAAACAGCCAGAACAATGTTTGGCTAAATATCTGGGCACCGCCGAGCTCAGTCAAGTCAACACATAAAATTAACCACACGTGACAGTCACCGTGGGGGGGCTGCCAGCTAAGGGCTGCTGCCAGCAGCGCTCCCCTCCCAGCAGCAGCTGCGGGGTTCTGGGCAGCTCCTCACAGCACCCACCTCACCAGGCAGGAGAAGGCAAGGGCTTAGGGTAGGTGGCGGTCGTGGAGGAGGCAAACCGTGTTTTGCAAGTGAGCCAACAGGGTTTGCTGGCAGATGGGGTGTGGTTGGGGTTGGTGAGAGGAAACTGAGGAGAACTCCCAGAGTTTGGTCTGAGCTACAAGGAAGGTGGGGCTACCACTGCTTGAGGGGGAGGACTATAGGGACAAATTTGGGGACGTCAGGAGCTCGGCATGGACATGTGGGGTTTGAGAGCCAGTGTGATGTGCCAGCAGGACTGTCAAAGTGATAGTTAGAGATGAGCCTGGAGACGGGGGAAGAGGTCAGGCTGGGAGCATAGACACAGATGGGGCCTCCGAATGGGGCCACCGGGTGGGGAGGTGCCTGCCACCTGGCTGCGTGATCTCCGGTCCCGCCGTGTGCTCCCCGTGTCCCCCCCCCCCCCCCCCCAAAAAAACCCCACTGGGGATTTCCTCTAAATGTGGAAGAGGGTATTTCCTTCCTCGATGGAATCGGTGCCATTTGTGTGTGAAGCTACTTGTCTTATACGATCGCATTCAGCCAAGGTTCTGAAACACATAGAACAAAAAACTAAACGTAAAACAATGGAATCGTGGGAAATATATTCTGAAGTAGGAGGGCCGGATGATGGAGATGTGAACTACTGACCTATCAGCTGCAGTGGTTCTCAACCTTCTGGCCGTTTAAGTACAGTTCCTCATGCTGTGACCCAACCATAAAATTATTTTCGTTGCTACTTCATAACTGTAATGTTGCTACTGTTATGAATCGTCATGTAAATATCTGATATGCAGGATGGTCTTAGGCCACCCCTGTGAAAGGGTCGTTCAACTGCCAAAGGGGTCGCGACCCACAGGTTGAGAACCGCTGAGCTAAGGGCTATGGCGTCCCTGGAAAGGAGCCTTGTGTTTGGTGGCTTGGCGCTCCCTGGCAGCCGAAGGAAAGGCGGTGTGGCCTGCTGCCCTGGCAATGCTTAGCAGAAGCAAGCAGGCCCGTCCTCCAGGGAAAGCCATGGTTCCCCTCGCTCTCAGCTCGAAAAGAAACGTCCTAACGGGGCTTCCTAGAGGATCTGGGCAGGACTGGTCCCTCCCCCGGGGAGAGAATTCTTCCTGCCTGAGCCTTCTCTGCCTTCTCTAACCTGGGGCAGGAACTCCGCCTCAGTGGCCCCGGCTCTCTAGGGGGTTGGGAGCAACAGAGCTTCACATCGGCTTATAAATATCGATTCTGTGGTCCAACCCAGGCAGGCTCGACCCTGGGAAAGCCCCTGGATGCCTCTTACCCCCCTCCTTGGAGGGGAACTTACCTGGGAGGGAAGGCGAGTCCCCCTTACCCCAGGGCCGAGGGAGGGCTCTGGGCTCCTGTATGAGGGACGCCTCTGCCCACTGCCTGTCTGCTCCCCACGGCAGGGGCTGCGGGCCCACCTCCGGGGCTGGAACCCCAGCGAAGCGTGAAGTCACTCTGGTCACCTTGATACACACCAGAGAGTTTGCCTATTTATTATGTTCACGGCTCCCTCTTTAGAATAGAAGTTCCATGAAGGGAGGACTTGGTTTAGTTCTTCTTCATTCCAAACACCTAGGACAGTTATGGGCACACGGTGGGTGTTCAGTCCATATTTGCCTGAATGAACGGGCAAACAGGGTGGGAAGCGCCCACTCTCATTGTGCCCTCAGGTCCCTGCTCCTGGCCTGACCCTCTCCATAGGGGTCATGTTCATGGCCTGGAGGGGCCAGAACGCTCGGTGGATGCTGGCGATGCTGGGTCCCAGGGCGCCGGGCAGACGGTTGAGGCTGAGGCTATGTTGCTCACATACCAGGCCCTGGCACTTAGACTGATCCGGGTGATGTCTGAGTTCCACCCGCTCTATAGGAAGGAGAGTCACGCCCTTCCTGGTCTCTCCGGAAGCTGGGCTTATAAACAAAGTCCCTCCAGCTGGCACCCTCTCCTTCCTCTCTCTCTGTAAAATCAATAAAAATATATATTTTTAAAAAATGATAGGCAGGTTTCCCCAGAAAAACAATGTGATGGAAGGTAGCTGTGACCCCAGCCAGTTCTAGAGTCTAACTTTATCCATAAAGGTGCTGAAATACTATATAGTTACTGTGGGCAGGGAAATGTAGAGGACAAGAAGGATTT